TCGCCTTCTCTCTTACTTGGACAAGAACCTTCCTATACCTCGAGATCATCTCAACAAGGCGTTGATACCACTTGTTGTGATTCTTGCATGAGGAATAAAAAGTTTTTTGTTGATCTTGAATGAGAGGGAGAGGGAAGAGAGGGAGAGTAGCTCATAGGAATTCAAAATTCCCTTATTCAATAGGGATATTACAAGAGAGGCACTTCTAACATCAACTACAATGTTATTTATGTTACGAATCTAATATCAGAGAATATAATTTTGATGATACCAAATACTTCTGTTTTTCTACGACTGCCTTGCCTACTAACGTTTCAGGTCCACAAGATCAAACTGCAAATTGAACCAACTCAAGATTGAATAGATTAGGATTGAGTCAGTTTGTAATGTACGACATGTGTTTTTTATCTTTTCTTGAGTCCTTTGTAACAATGTGGTCTTGATGCTAAGTAACATTGCACACACACACTTGGGGGAAAATTTCTGTCTGTTTTAGAGTTTTCTGTTTTTGATCACATCGTCCGGGACGATCCAAAAAATGGCCTGGAGGATCAGTTAAAACATAAACTCTAATTATGCCATTATGGTTAAGGCAGCCGCAATTAAGCGCATCGTCCTGGACGATATTAGTATCGGCCAGGATGATAGACTCAAATAAAAAAGAATCAGCTGCCATATCTATTTAGGTATCTTTTATTTTTGGACATCATCAGTGAAATTATGTCTAAATTAATTTGGTAATTAAATAAAGCAATTAAGGTTTGATTGCTCGATCATATCATCCTAGACGATCACATGATCGGCCGGGACGATTAGTTCATAAATCTTAGTTTTTCCTGGACGATCAAACATCGGCCTAGTTCCATTCTGGGTGATACTCTAGACGATATGTACTGAATTGAACTAATCGTCCGGGACGATCGTGAGATCGGCTTAGACGATCAAGTTATTTTTACATCATCCAGATATCAATTCAGGGCGATGTTCTGGATGATATTCATCATTTTGTACTAATCAGCTGGACGATGTAGTTATTTTTCGATCGTCCAGACTTCCATCCAGGGCGATGGTCTGAACGATATTCAACAACTTGAACTAATCATATAGGACGATAGACTATCGTCCTGGACGATTTGAACAAATGATCCTTCTAATCGTCCAGACTCTTCCAAATCGTCCTGGCTGATTGAGTAAAAATTGAACTAATCATACAGGATGATCGGTCGAGATGATCTTTGATGATTAGTTGCCAATTATGGCTAATTTGGAGCCCTTGTTTAAAAGATCTATTATTTTCTCAAGAGGAGATCTTTTGCTGTTGTCATGATCTAAGAGAGCCAAGAGGAGAGGGAGAGCAAGGGAGAGAGAGAAAGGATCTTCTGAGAGGTTTCACAAGGGTTGCTCCAAGCAAGGATCCATCGTCGGGCTTCAAGAGGAAGCAAAAGGAGTTGGGTTCTCTGACTGCTTTAGGAGGAAGCAAAAGGAGTTGGGTTCTATGCCTGACCGGGGTTGGTGGAAAGGAGTTTTTGTACGGGCTTCTCCGCCTTGCTGTGGGGGCAAAAGGAGAGACACTGTGTTTAGTGCAATACTCAGAGGAGAGGCTCCGGGGAGTGGACGTAGGTCAGGTTAATCGAACCACTATAAAATCTAGTGTGTTCTTTCTTATTGTACTTCCACATTTAATTTCCGCACTTTGATTTCTGTGGTGAGTCTTGGTTTGGTTGTGATTGTGCTTTTGCTTAAAGAATTTTTTAAATACCAATTCACCCCTCCTCTTGGTTATTCTTGGGACTAGTTCATTAGGGCTTAACATCCCTGTTGAACTTTCAATTTATAGGCATTTACAAGGAGTTTGATAGCTTGCGGATCAACCTAATCTAAAACCGGACCACTAAACAACATATTTTTTTGAAAAAAATCCTCATAACACAAATGAATCAATCACCTATTTGCATTTAAAGATGAGATTTAACCATATTTTATGAAGATTTTATTGAAAGATAATTTTGGTTCCACATGATTAGTCATCTATTGTTTAGAGACAAATTTTTTAATGTACTGGCTTAGTAGTGAGTAAATGAATATCTTTCAGTGCAGCATCTACATATTATCACTCAATAAGGTTCACTGTGAATTTGCAACCATAGCTTTTTCAACTAGTGTCATTTTTATAAGCATATCAACATAATTTTCTACTCCATTGATCTTGATGAGTTGTGAAGCACCTCCTTCAAGACAACTCTGCATATAATAGTTCTTAAGTTGTATGTATTTTGTCCAGAATTAGAAATAGTCATTCTTCTAAAATGAACGGTGTTGTTTGTCGCGAAAGATTTTCATGTCTTCTTGTGACTTGATGAGTTCTTTCAGGAAGCTTTTGAGCTAAGCGATCCCTTTGAAGGCTTTAGTGGCAGTTACATATTTAACTTTTGTTGTTGATAGTACAGTTATATACTGAAGTTGTGACATCCAATTGATAGCAGTGTCACCTAAAATTTGCATTTGTTACGGGTTAGAATATACGCGGCAATAGAGTTAGAAAATTTTTTGTCTTAGCCTTGTACGAATATCCAGGACAAAAACAGAATAAAAAAGGAATACCATAATTTTTTTACTTGGAAACCCTGGAAAAGGGAAAAACAACGGGGCCACGCCTAGTTGAAAGGATTCCACTAGTATTTGCTTAGATTACAAATGGCCGACTGGACCCTGAAATTGAGGATGATCAGATTACAATAATCAACTTTCGGGTTGAAATTCAATTACAAATGGAGATCGGAAATCCGGCGACGTTTGGTAGTCGGGCAGAAATCCAACTTCAATTGACAGAAACTCCGGTATCAGTCGGCGGCCGGGCAGAACTCCGGCTTCAGTTGGCGATTTGGCAGAACTCCGGCGTCAGTCGCTTGCCGGGTGGAAGTCTGGCAGTGTTCGAGGAGGAGTCTGGTGGCAAGAGAGCTCTCTTCCATCTCTTCTCTTTCTTCTCTTCCTTCTCATCTCTTCTTGCTTGGGGTCCCCTCCCATGAGAAATAAGGGGTCCCTTATTTACAGTTTTCTAAGAGTGGCATGACCAATAAATAAGTGGAAGATCAAGGGTAAATAGGGAGTAGTTTTAATGAATGGGCGATGTTGAATCCCTTGATCATGGACTGTTTATTGAGCATTTGAATGTCTTAATAATATCATAATTCGAAGATCATGGGCTCGTTGGATTCATCTCATCGAGCCGTTAGATTTGACTATAAGCACGACACTTTTGGAAACTGTTTGGTAATCCAAATTATGGACTGAGCCTTTCAAATGCATTTTGGGTCTTTGATTTGGACCCATATGAGCTTGGATTAGGTCGAATTTGGTGTCGTTGGGTTCATATTTTTGAGACCTTCAATTCGACTATAAGTTTGTTGAAATCAGAATTCATATGATTTCTGATTTAATTTTTGAAGTTTCCAACTTGATTTTGCTTTGAGATTCGTGCCCAATCAAGAAAATTATTTGATTCACATGATTAACAATAAAGGCTTGATGTTGTTGTTGTTGTATATGATTAATAATAATCAGATAAATGTTTTTGAAGTTTTTCATTATTAATCATATCCCACCCTACAAGATGACCTCTTCACATTTCATATAACTCACATTTAGAGGCAGTGGTGGAGCCAGAAAATTTATTGAGGAAGAGCCTAAATTACATTTTTAAAATTTTCCCTCAACTTTTTTCATTTGGGCCTGAGACCAGCATAGACAGTTTTAATAAAAAAAATTCAACTAGCATTTGATGCAAGATTTTCCATATTTAATTCAAAATTTTTTGGTAAATTTACATCAACTCGAATGAGTTTTTTGGTTTCCTCTTCATCCTTATTGTTATTCTCATCCATAGTATTTGATGATTTTAATTCGATGACCGCTTGAAATATCTTTTTATAGATGTTCAAACTAGTACTCAAACATGACCTAAGAGTAGATATCTATTATTTAGATATAAAATTGAAAAATTCAAACAAAACTACTAGATATGGTGAGCTTACTGATGAACAGTATATATATATATATATGAAGAGAGAGAGAGAGAGAGAGAGAGAGAGAGAGAGAGAGAGAGAGAGAGAGGTGTTCTTGATCATATCCAAGTCTAATCTGTGCCCTGTACTTCTTTAAGAATTGGCGTGTCCTGTTTCTTGTTATCATGGATAATAAATGGATTTCTGAATAAGATAAGCCTTGCATTTTATCAAAAATGTCCTCACTTGAATTGGAATAGAAAAAACAAGCTTGGTGATGATAAGATAGCTTATATTATAACCTCCAAATTATAGTTTTGAGTTTTAAAAACAATTTCAATAGTAGGAATGATCTTCCTAGCTGCCCTTTTTCTACTATTTAGTTGAGAAATCTGCTTGAAAAATGCTATGTTCTTCCACTTATAATCTTTTAAAAAAAAATGTTGTACTGCCATAAAAAAAATAAAGAAAAAAAAAAAATCTAAATTTAGGATCTCAATACATCGATATGATTGAGTAAATGTAGTATTACTCATTCTAATTACTACAGTGATTTGGGAAAAGAATCTCTTATGGTTTAGAATAGAGATGTCTAAGTTGTTTATTTATGTCCTCTCATATGGCAGTTGGCGCTCTTTCTCTTGTATTATACTCATTTTGCAATTATTTTTTTGGTGGTGGGGTACATGTTGATTAGTATTCTGTCCTTTCCTGCTTTACATATTTGGTTAATTTATCCAAACCTCACATATTTTTCTCAGAAGAAATATATTTTGCATTAGTGTTGACAGAGACATCAAAGCCGAATGGATTTTATTATCATTTAAAAGTTATAATATGCTTCAGTTGTCTGTTTTCTTTTTTCTAAGGTTTAGTTTGGGACGGCTTTCTTAGTGCTTCTTAAAGTTCAAAAGTTTTAATCTTTTATTAAAAAACTGCTTTAAGAAGCAGTAACAAAGCCGTCCCAAACAAAGCCTAAATTTATCAAAGAGAATGCTGCTACTTTATCTTTGCAGAAATAATCTTATTGAAAACCTTTTCAGACAAGTTTGAAAACATGTATGTTTCTTTTACGAGAAATCAACTAACAATTTGAAATAAAAAATAAAGAAAGTTACCTGAGGCGGTACTCCAATTTGAAGAAGAACAGGGTTAATGAGCAGCCCTCCACCAATGCCAAAGAGGCCACCCATAATTCCTGATAAGAGTGCAGCTAATGGAAAAACCAACACAGGTAGATCTTTCACTCTATTATGTGCTTCAGCTCCCTACACAAGGCCCAAATATTCAAATTCTGTAAGCTTTCTCTTTGGGACAGCTTTTGTACTACTTTTTAAAACATCATTCTAGTACACAAATTTTAAATTCAAGAAATTTTTGTACGAGAAAACTGTTTTAGAAAGCAAGAAGAAAGCCGTCGCAAACGAAGCCTCAGTGAAAGTTTTCTTGAGTTATTTAAAATCTCTGAAACTTACCAGTTCATCATTCTGCAGATCAGGAATCTGATGGTTTGATGATCGCCTGATATGGGAAAGAATGAACAGCGTAAAAACTACAGCTAAGGGAACCTGGAACAAGGTAATGAGCCAGTATGCAACTCTACAAGGTCTTATGTGTATCATACTCTGCAAGGAGAAATAAGCCATCATTGTAGCATTATTAATTCTTGAATATAATAGATGTCAGTCAAGCTTCTTATAATCATTCTTGCTGATGTAAAGTTTGCTAATGATAGAAATTTTTTTTCAAATATTTTATTAATTTGTAGTAGGACATAAGATCAGTTATAGATAAGTAGATATAAAAGTGATTGCATATCAAATTTCACGTAGAGATCTAATGAATATTTATCAAAGTTCAAAGTTCAAACTCAAACATCTTATCTCTACCTTAAAACCAAAGATCATATCATGTTAGCCAGGGCTCTTTGAGTGATACATCAAGCATTTAGTGCATCTAATAATTGCTCCATTAAAAATAGCCACAGTAATAAGTTTGATAATGGATGCTGAGATAACCATAGCCATCACTTTAAGTCATAGGTGGAGGCCAGGATTTATAAAAAAGTTTTGAGTGGCCTACTCTGAAACTGATTTTTATGTAATTTTATATGCAGATTCTTCATTTTTATTGGAATTTCAGACTTTAAACAGTCACTAAAAGAAAGATTAACAAAGAAAGAATGACAACCTCATTCACTCCAACTTAGAAAAAAAAACTTTTTATTAATTTATTTTATCTTTAACATTTAAAGAAATGAATCTAGGAGTAAATCTAGCTGTTTTAGACCTTAGTAGACTTTCTACGTAGATGTTAGATGTTGGATGGGTGGAACATCATGGTCTAAAGTAAGCATGCAATTGATTTAGTGAAAAAAACTAAGCTCGAACCTGACTTTTACTGAATTTCTTAGCAAATTCAATCCATTAGGGAATCTCTGGAAGAAGTGCATTTGTTGATAAAATGCAAAGCAGTTTCTACTTTGATTGGCAGCATCTGATTTTCTTGTATTTCAAACAATTATTGTGGCTTTGTTGGAAGATTAGAAAGTAATTAAATCTTACAATCAAACGTCAAAATATTGTATTTTAGTTAGAAATATTGTCTTTCGGAACTTTGGTTATATCTAAACTATATTTTGCTGTAAAAAATGTTAATGCTATTTGTCCATTAGCCTGTCCTGATGCAGAAGCAGTGCATTGAATAAGTATAGTGATATTTAAAAGACAAAATTACTCATAACAAATCTGTATCAAACGGAAAATATTTCTATTAGGGAATTGAGCAAACTTACATGAAGATTTCGTCTTCAGAAAGGGGAAAAAAAAAGGAATCAAACAGTAATATACCTTGCCATCTTTACTCCCCGCAAGAAGATGAAGCACAGAGAAAGTAATCCATATCATCAACAAAATCATCATATTCCTCCATGGAATTCTTTCCTCTTCCTTCCCTCGCAAGAGTGGCTCCTCCACCGCATGATCAGACTCCTCCTTCCAACACTTACACCCAGCTCCACAAATCTTAAAAGTAGAGCAAGCAAGAAATATTGCAAAGAGAGCAGTTATTAGCCACTCAGGAAACATGACATTGCAAACCACACCAATACTAACTCCAAGCAGCATTGATGGCTCTGAGAGTAGAGCAATATCATAGTCAATTGTGGATTGGGAATTTAAATTTTTGTTGAAGAAGAAGAGATTGCACAAGACATTTGAGACCGAGCCCGCCGTTACCATGAACGAGGAGACGGCAGCGGAGGCCTTGAGATCCATGCCAGCGATGAGGTTGAGGATAGGGAGGTAGAGAGAGCCACCTCCGACTCCGCCGGCGCTGGAGATGGAGGCGGCGATGAAGCATAGGATATAGGATGTGATGTGGAGGAAAAGGCTGTTGGAATCATGAGCTGCCTGAGTGTTTTTTCTCAATTGGTAAAGAAGGTTGAGGAGGCGAGGGAGTTGAGAAGGTGACATTGTCTTGGATAGAGGAATGGAGCTGTCAAAGGATTGTAGTCTGAAACTCTGAATAATATACATATATGAATTTTTGAGCAAACGCAGTTCATCTTAGGCTTGATTTGGGAAGTTTTTTTTTCCTTAAAATATAGTTTTAATATTAAAATATTTTTTTTATTAAAATTTTGTTTTAAGAAGCAATAAAAAAATAGTCACAAATGAAGTCTTGGAACAATTTTTTTACTGCTTCTTAAAATAGTTTTCTAGTATAAAATTTTTATTTTTGTACTATAAAACTGCTTTAAGAAGCAGTAAAAAAGTCATCCCAAACTAAAATTTTGTTTGAGACGGCTTTATGATTGCTTATTAAAATAGTTTTTTAGTTCAAAATTTTTATTTTTGTACTAAAAAGTTGTTTTTAAAAGCAATAAAAAAATAGTTTCAAACTAAAGTTTCGTTTGGGACGGCTTTCTTATTACTTCTTAAAGCAGCTTTTTAGTACAAAATTTTTAATTTTTGTACTAGAAAGCTACTTTAGGAAACAATAAGAAAGTCATCCCAAATGAAGCCTTAGTCTATTGGTTAGGAGCTCTTTGGCTATTAATTAAGAAGAATAGAATTTGAAATTTATGTATGTGATGCGTGCATAAATTCAGGCAAAAATCTCATATTATACCATATTATTTCATGAAATGGGTCCCATACATTAAGATTATTTGGTATCATATTATATTTGTATATATTATATTAGAATATTTTTAGTGAATTTTATGATTGAGATTAAAAATTTGTTATATTTTTAAATTGTCAATTAATTTAGTTAATAATTTTTTTTTAAAAAAATTGTAAAGATATTAGATGTAAATTCTAACTATATATAAGTTATGGCCCTGAACTCTCCAAGTTAAATGAGTCGAGTCGGCTTTTTTATGGAATCTTAGGCTTCGTTTGGGACGGCTTTTTTACTGCTTTCTAAAACGGAGTTTTAGTACAAATTTTTTTATTTTTGTACTAAAACTTCGTTTTAGAAAGCAATAAAAAAGCCGTCCCAAACGAAGCCTTAAAGTGCATATATATATGCTATATTTGATGTTTATGGCAAATGATTATGACAATTAATTTATTTTGGGAAATAACAATCATGCATATATTTTTTTTTATTTGCATATCTAATAATTTATCTAAAAATAAATAACAATTTTATATATTTGCCTTCTTAAAATTAATTAAGTTTGCTTTATAAATATTTTATATTTAGATGTTATACACGTAATTGTTTTTGTCTAAGCAAATAGGAATACGTACTATAATACGGGAATTTTACGTCAATTAAAATAAGTTCATACGTACATCACATACACATTTGACTATCAACCAACATATCACGACGAGCTGCATAAATTATATCATTATTATAAAGCTTTTTTATTGCTTTGTAAAGCTGTTTTTTAGTATAATTTTTTTTTGAAAATAGAGAAAAAACACTGATCTAAAGCTGTTCCAAACGAAACTTATAATACAGAATAATTATAATTTTTGTAAGCTAAAATTTGATTAATGTCTTAATGTTGTAAGTAAATATATCTTAAACTTTTAATATAGTCTTAATATAGTTTTATGAGAGGAGCTTCTGATATATTTTTTTAATATCTTAACACGTGTCAGATATTTTAACATGAATAATTCTCAGACGTTGCAACGAGCAGAAATTGAATATAGGAGCTAAGAGAACCATCCACTTCTCATGAACTCGCTCCTTATTCAGAAAACACCAACATGTATTAAACACAATCTAATGTTTGTAATATTTCTTCTATTAATTTTTCGTGGAATTTGATTATGTCGATAAATCAAGTTGCATTGTTGACTCAAATTTCAATTTCGTCAGTTGAGCTCGACGAGAAACTTGTTGGAGGTTGCAAGAAGACAGCACAACTTTTGCTCGGCAAAACCCTTTTTTTTATGCAACGCTGATGCACTGTTTGTACAGCTCCACGACACTGTCGATCCCCTCTAAGACAAAGAACTTTGCGCCAAGGCGTTGTGAATATGTTATGAGGCTGAGAACCCAACATTGCAGCGCTAGGCCACCTGAGTCTTTTTTTTTTGCTTCACATTATGTAGCTTATAACTATATAAAAGCAAGTGACCACCTCACCTGTATCCCTCTTCTCAAAGTAAGCAAGTTTAGGGTGTCTTATTAGAGTCTTTGTTTGTAAGTCGTTTAATTTTAAGAGTTGTAAGTCTTTATTTATAAAAGTGTTCGTTTATATGAAATGTAAGAGTTTGTTCTAAAATTTCTATGTTATCTCTTCTTTTTGAGCATTTGGTGTCTTCTTTTATATAGGAAGTAGTTGTGATCAAAAATTTGGGTCCCTCCCCAAATTTTTGATTGCATCATTTTTTGGTATCAGAACAGGTTAGGAAGTCCCTAGGTTTAGGAGTCGGTTTGTCAAGTTGTATGTAGGTTTAGGAGTCGGTTTGTCAAGTTGTTTGTCTTGATGTTAAGTAAGTCTTGTGAGTCTTGTGAGTCTTGTAAATCTTGTGTGACTTGATGTCATATAAATTTTGTTTGTGAGTTCTAGTGAGTCTAGGTGTGTCATGATAGTTGTGCGTGAGTCTTGTTTTATGTCTTCCTAGGTTTTTGTCTTAAGTCTTCTGTCTTTCTAAGTCAAGTTGGATAAATATCAAGTTGGAAAGCAAGCAAGAAAGTAATCCAATGGATCTTGCCACAAGAAAGTTCTTTTGACCCGATTCAGATCAAGCTTTTTCAAGATTCAAGAGCAGCTACACTCAAGTGCAAAAAAATTTTGAAGCAAAAAAATTCAAGAGCTGGATGCACCGTCCTTGCCTCCTCCGAAGAAAGCAAAAACCAACTCATCGGGAGATGAGTTCTTCAAGCAGGGGAGTCTGATGTAGGCAAGGAATGGGTCAAAACAAGTTGAATTGAAAAATTTTGTAAGTTCTACATGAATCAGCTCATTAATGAGCCTCTTCTTATGTTTCAAGCTCATAAATACTTTCCTCTACTAGATATCAGCTCATTAATGTCCAGTAGAGAGCCTTTTTAGCTCATAAATTGAGGTTCATTCCTCCATTTCTTGTCCCTTCTCCTCCCCTTTTCTTCTTTAATATTTATCTTTGTCCCATGGGATTCCGTGGCTGTTTTTGGGCTTCCTGTGCTGGTTGTTTCCTGTGCCATGGCTCCTTGGTTTTCCGGTTGGCTGCTGGATTCCCGAGCTAGGTGGCCTTTCTGTGTCTTTTGGTGCCTCGGTTCTGTGCAGGCCTCTTTGGTTTTCGTGGCTGGTTCTTCGGTTCCCTGGCTGAGCTGTTCTCCGTGAAATGCTTGGGGGAATTCCGTGGCTTATGATGCTTGGGTTCTTGTGAAAATTCATTAAAGTGGTTGTTTGTATTCCTTCTTTTGTGCCTATAAATAGAGTTGTTTTGTGGCTGTTTTAATATGTTATGTGAATGATTTTTGGAAATGTAAACCTGTGGGTTTTGTTGGAAAAGCTTGCGAGCTTTGTCCACTTCTTCTTCTCTTCTCCTCTAGGAAATCTTGCGAGCTTTTTCCACCCTTCTTCTCGGCTTCTAATCTTTTTTGTCTCTCCGCAAGTGACCAACTCACATGTATCCCTCTTCTCAAAGTAAGCAAGTTTAGGGTGTCTTGTTAGAGTCTTTGTTTGTAAGTCGTTTAATTTTATGAGTTGTAAGTCTTTATTTATAAAAGTGTTCGTTTATATGAAATGTAAGAGTTTGTTCTAAAATTTCTAAGTTATCTCTTCTTTTTTAGCATTTTGTGTCTTGTTTTATATAGGAAGTAGTTGTGATTAAAAATTTGGGTCCCTCCCCAAATTTTTTATTGCATTACTAATCCACCTCTAGTATCATCCAAATTTAAAAAATACAATGCTACACAAAACAATTATATAATGCTACACAAATTAAATGAGACATGTGTCATCCTCTGATTGGTTGAAGGAGAGTGAGGTTGGAAGAGTTCTAATAAATGTTCTTTGGGCTAGATCAACTATGTCGAGTAGGTAAATAGGCATAGGCGAGTCTATAGACTAGTGTTGACATGAGGGCGCCTGCAACCAGCGGGATTGCTGATATTGTCGGCAACTTGTATGATAGATCTTGGATTGCCTAAGAAGAGAAAGACAAACAAGATGTTGTTGTGGGGAGGGAGAAACCTCAAGTTGGACAGTCACAACAAATTGAAGTGAGTGTCCCAAGAGTAGGCGCTTTCTTGTAGCTAAGTCTGACGAGCTGTCATGGGAATGATCGCTCTAAGAGAGAGCAAGTGATTGAGATGGTGGTTTAGGTATGCGGCGTGTTCCGAGTTGTTAGTTGGATGAGGAATCTATAAACTGCCCCGTAAAATGCTGAGCTCCTTAATGGGCCTGATCGAGTAGTGATTCTCGAATCGTTAGGTGACTTTCATTAGAACAAGGTTACTCAAAACCAAATAGCAGGTCATATAGAACAAGGTTGCAAAAAATATATATTAGATACTTATAGATAGTATTCAAATATATTAGTTTAGTAAGTTTTTGAAACATCTTTTAAGTAGAGTAATCGTGCAAAAAGTTGATCATCATTATATAAATATGAAAAAAAATTGTGCATATCATCCTCATCATCCATTCATGACAACAAGGCAACCATCATCAACTTATAAAAAAACTTTACATTGAAATTGTTAAACTGATATTATCATACATCAAAATTATCATTTAAATATAATAATAATTAAATTCCAATTTTATTATAAAAATGTGAAAAAAAAAACCATTGCTTTAAGAAAAAATGTTTAATCAACAACTTTAATTGGGTGAAACAATTAAAGAAGATTTTGATAATCATAAAAAAAAAAATTGGATATATTTTCTTTATAATAAGGGATGGCCAAAACTTTAAGCAAGGAAACAAGCTTAGGATGCCCTACCCTCTCTCTCCACTTTCCATTAAGATTCCAATGCAAAACAAAAAGTTTTGGGCACTTAATAATCAAGGATCTTTTC